TTAGATATCGCAAAGTAATCGGGGATAAACGCGGATTCAGTTTTTAAAAATCGTTTTATATTTAGTTTGTAGTTTTACATTTATTCAAAGCATTTTATGTATTACATTTTTATTAGCATAAAATATTAGACTTATTTAAAATATCATATGTACATTTAAATCTTTTTAGATATTTGAATATACTTCGGCTTAACGATAAAGTTGATTCTTACCTTTTTGTTGATACCCATAAACAGAAATTTAATTGTTTTAAATAAATATTAATTTTATTTCTTTAAAGAAACTGGGCTTTTAATACTTTATAATGACATTTATAATTAATTAGATCAATAGTAATCAGGATCCGTAATTTTTGCACTTAAATCTGTTTTAATGATTTCTTTTTGTTTTGTTTTTCTTCTGAGCGCCTGGAACGAATCCATTGAAGTAGAACGTACATTTGAACAATTCGTTTAAAACTTTAAACTTTACGGAATTGTAGTTTTAAATAATTCACTAATTATATTTAAGCTTTTTACACTACATGCGCAAAATTTTAAACATTACATTTTCTAATTTGAGTTTCTCACAGTTACGCTAAGGTCTGCTCTTTTAGATCTACATTTTTAATTTTTGTAGTACCTTATATTGTGGGTTTCGTGAACTAATGTATACAGTTTTAAATTTAAGGACCATCCAATAGAAGTTGAGAATATATATTAAGTGTGCTGAAATGGTCGGTATAGTACTGGCTACAAATGTACACGTTTCAATTGGCTATCAACTAAATTGTTCAACTTGGATTTAACTTATATATCACAAACAAGTACATTTAATATGCATCATTACGAGTAGGTACTAGAGATGGGCCATTGGGCCGGAAAGTTTGCCGTCGACGGCGCAATAAGTCTCTAAGCTTAAAGTTACGAGTTGATTTTAGCCAGGAGTGGCTGCGTCACGGCGCCACTAGTGGCACCACGCGCCGTCACAAGTGGCCTTGGACACTCTTCTGCCAAAGAGTGGTCATGTCCGTGAACATTCGAGACAGTTGGTGGCTTGCAGAGAAGCTGCTTATAGTTTTTGACTAGATAGCCATACGGATCGTCACTGCTTAGATTTGGAATGTTTTGATTACAGCAGCTGCTACCGCTGCGCTCCAAATTGAGCCCCGCCGAGGCGGGCAGCGGTGGTGTCATGTTGTTAAGCAGTGGCGTCTCATCGCAATCGGCAAACTTAATCCGCTGTCCGCTGCCCGTGCTGCCAGTTTCTGGCGTGTCGGAGGCATCGGTGCGGCTGCTCTTCAACAATGTTGAGATCGTGGGGGATGGCTTCAGACGACTCCTAGCCTGCGGCGCAGGCTGCAGAATGCCGATCAGATTGGAATTGGAGTTGGAGTGTGCATGTTGGCCGTGGTTACTGTGGTGATTCTTGAGCGTACCGCTCAGTGGAAGACGAAAATTGGCCAGCTCCCAGCAATCGGTTGTAGCTGCATCCGAGCTGGTTCCACCTTCCTCCATGCTGCGAAGCGAGCGACTGCTAAAGATATCACATGGCTGCTGTTGCTGTTGTTCAGCAGCCAAATAGTAATTGTTGGGCTCAGTCTTTTGATTCGGATTATGCTCAAAGCAGCTGCCATTTAGCTTGGGCGAACTGGAGCTAATCTTGCGCTTAGCCCGAAGATCGGGTGAGGCTTCCTTCTCAGCAGCGGGCAGAGCTATTGTCGGCACTGCCGCTGCCAATGTGCCTATAACGGCCAGCTCTGAGTATTGTTTGTAGAAGGTGTGCGACTGACGCTGCGGTTGCTTGAGTGACGAGCGTCTCGTTAGCATCAGCTTGTTGGCAGATGTGTTTGCATCCGGCTTGGGCACCTCGCCCTCGAGCCAATACGTCATCATTTCTCCCTTACCCTTCATAGGCACCAGGCCACGTCGCGTCGTCAGAAAGCTGCCAAACTCGTCCAGCGCCAACTTGGTCGTTTCGCTTATGTGTATTTTCAGTGCCTCACCATTAGACTCCATGCGGGAGGCGGTGTTCACAGTGTCGCCAAACAGACAATAACGCGGCATCTTCTGGCCCACAACACCGGCTACACATGGGCCCGTGTGCAGCCCGATCCGCAACTTCAATCGATCGTCGGGTCTGTGGTGTATCCGAAAGTTATGCACCGCCTCGAGCAGTGCCAAAGCCAGGCGCGCAATTTCACGAGCGTGGTAGTTCTCATTGCGTATGGGCAGACCGGATACCACCATGTATGCATCGCCAATGGTCTCCACTTTGTACACGTCAAAGTTCTCCACAATCGAGTCGAAGCAGGTATAGAGATCGTTAAGGAACTGAACTACTTGCATGGGTGTGCTCTCTGCCGAAATAGCCGTGAAGCCGACAATGTCGCTGAAGTAGATGGTCACCTGGTCAAAGGTCTCGGCCACCACTGGCTGACCACTAATCAATTGAGCAGCAACGCTCTGGGGCAGCAACTGATAAAGCAGCTTCTCGCACTTTTTCTTTTCCTCGAGATAGTCTTGAGTTCGCTCTTCGACGAGCTCCTCCAGGTTGTTGGCATACATTTCCATGCGTTTCAGCAGATTATCCACAATATTTCCAGTCTCGTTGTCCCTGCGGGCGCATATAAAAGTTTAATAATTTTAATTTAATTTGGTATTGTTTACTAAATCTTTTTATATCCTACTAGCGGGTATACCCCGTCCTTGCCCGTGGCACGTATAAAATAAATTCTCTCAAAGATCTTTAAAAATTAGTTTTTAACCGATCGGACGGTAATAAAAAAAAACTTTCATATAACCATTTTTTGCTAATTATCAAGTGCTGCAGGTGAAAATTCCCTAATCGCTGAAACGATTATTCATTAAGATTTTATGTTGAACTTTCAAAATAAGTTTGATGCAAATCGGACACAAACTAAAGCTTCGCCCATAAAATCGTTGAATCGCATTTCTACCGAAGAAGTTTGGATTCTGCGAAGAGTGTGAAACACGTCTCAAATGATTTTTCATATAGATCTTTGGAAATGAATTTGAGCGCGAAACGTCACCCACCATATCTTTGACCTCCATATCCACCAAGGAGGAACGTATTTTTCCAAAAGTGTGAAACACCCTTCAAATGAGTTTGAACAAAGATCCTTGAAAATGAGTTTGAGGCTGACCGGATGGTGAACAAAAAAGTTTCATACAAACGTTTTTCGCGCTTAGGTGTACAAAATTAATTCTATTTATGTTTACAAAATGTGACAACAATCAACCTCGGTTCACAGATGTTCAAAAAGAACTGAGCCACCGATAATTTTTGTTGGACTTTTGTCATTGTTAAAAATACGACTTTAGATTATAAGTTGGTAAGGATAGTCTCACTTGTTGAACTTCCTTATCATAGACTTGAGCGTATTGAAGTCGGGCCGCTCCAGCAGATCCTCGGCCCAGCAGCGTCTTATGATGCCAATAACGTCCGCCTTAGTATCACCGCACGGATCCAGCTCTGGACGGAAGGGCTTATTCAGTTGCGGTTGATAGTTCTTAACCAGCTCAACGATCTCTGGAATAAGTACATATATAGACCGCTCTGCATTATAATTCAGTCAAATTTTTGTAAAAATTGTAAATTGTAAGTTATTTGTTTGTGTTTCAGTTCAAGGACTAAACCGAATATAATGCCAAATAGGCCACTAAAATCGCACACCGACACACGCACAAACACACATAAACATACATTTCAATTTTAATATGTACTCGAACACACAACATTTGGCACTTATTTGCCCCTATATGATGACCAGGTATACAGTCAGGCAGCAATTGACGGATGGACAATATAATGGCAGACCTGGTGTCTGGCACCACGATGCTAGGAATTGCCTGATCGTGGCATTCTATTGTGAGCGTGAGGTCCAGGCGGAAGTTAAGATATTCAACCTGTTAATGCGCAGTTCTAGGAAAACTGAAAGCATTGACTTTGAGAAGAATCGCCCAAGAGGTTAGTCAATACGTGGCTTTCAGGACTTTCAAGGATTATGCCTAAGTTCCTTTTTAGGGTCCACAGATGCTGAGGTTATATTTGGAGATTGTGATTGTGAAAAGATGCTTTGCGACGGGGATTTATGCAAATGCGGCTGGGATAAGTCACGCATCGACTGGCTGTGGGAATTGGAGCGCCGGCAACAGTCTTGGCTGAATGAGAGCCAGAGATCAACACCTCCAACCGCTCAAAGAGTGAAAAGGCCGGTAAGAGAGCCTCAAAATAATATTGGCTGCTGGAAATGGCTGCGTCTTAATTGTGGCTGTGTCTCAGATACCGAAAGCTTTGATTTGCCCTATCGCAGTAGCACTTGTTTATGAGTTATAGTTGATATCATTTTGTATAATTTTCCACTAAATTAAAAACATAAAACTTTGTGTCAATTCATTTGCTCTTCACTTCGCTTTAGCCTCATGAAAATCAAATCAAAATGTTGTAAATCATCAAATGCAATTTTTTAAAATATTTACAAAACATAAAAAAAGATTTAGGTTCCAAAATAATGATCTCGATTTTTTCAAACCGAAATATTTTGTAGCCACATCCGAATTGCAACTCCTAAATCTTGCAAAACTTTTTTGTTTATATTTCGAAAAGAGTTTCCCAAATCAAATTATAATAAATATTTTGTTTTACAAACTGAGTAAATTTAGACTTAAGTGTAATTTTCTGAAATACTTTACAATATTGAGGCTTTTTTAAATTATTCGAGATTTTTGTGCGATGTCGCATTTAGAGCGACTGTTTAAAATTTGTTAGTACATTCTGCTTATTGGGTATATTTCCTGCTCCCAGAACGTTAAAAGGGGAAAAAGTTATGCAAAAAAAGGAAACACATTACAAATGATATACACCTTGGAACAACCCATTTTTATCGATTTCTAATGATTTCAAATGTTAACAAATTCTATGCGAATAGCCAGTTGTTGCATACCTTGAGGAGTCTTCTCATGGGCACACTTGCCCAGATAGAAGGGTCCCTGCCGTGTGGTTATCTCATGCACTATGATCCCAAATGAATATACATCGCCCTTCTGTGTGCCTTCAGGAGCCCGCTGATTTTCCAGCCGCAACAGTTCAGGCGCGGTCCAAAGGCGCTCTGCAGGTAGGAATGATTTCATATGATTGATGTATATATTGGACGCCAGCTGTGGGCCAGCCCACTTACTTTTCCAGTAGGCATGGCTATTGCAGTTTTCAATATCGCTTTCGACATCATGATGGGTGCGCCGCAGGCTATGCAGCCCAAAGTCGGTGATCTTGAGCACAAAACGTGAGTCCACCACGCAATTGGAGGACTTAAGATTGCCGTGGGAGCGTATATCAGAGCTGTGTAGAAACTGCATGCCCCGCACAATATCATGCATTAGCGACAGCTTGAACATCCAGTCCAGCTGAAACTGCTCGTTCTCTAGTATATCCTGCAGCGAACCCTTGGGACAGTATTCGGTAAGCAGAAAACTGCGACGCTGATCCAGGCAGGCGCCGTAGAACTTGACCAAGTGATCATGCTGCAAATCCTTCATGCGCTTCAATTCCAGCATTAGACTGCGCGACAGTATACCCTGAACATTTTCCAACTCGATGGGCTTGATAGCCACCTTGCTTTTCCTGTACATGCCCACGGGTATGAAGATCTGACGGTCCCCATTTATGGAGCCCATGTCCTCCGACATGAGCGTCAGCTGGGAGCTCTGCTTGACTAGCGAGTGAAAGGAGCCGCGCATGCCATGATCTGCAGCATCCCGAAACATAACATCCTCCAATGAAACCTTCCAGCTCATTGAATTGATCTCGGCCTCGGCAATATAATGTCGATAGCCGAAGAAGAAGCATACGGCCATAACGATTACCATTATGCCAAGAACGATCGAAAGAATGGCATAGCCAGGCAGGGCTAGAAAAGATGAGAGCATTGGGAAAAAAGTAACGAAATCGGTAGCTATTATTATTATATGTTTTTTTTTTTTTAATTTTTTCATAACATCGTAAATATAATTTTTTTTTTGAGATAACAAGTGTTTGCTAGTTCATGTGTAGGTATTCATAAAAAAATGTTTTTCTGTATTTGAACCCGTATCCTTCTTTTAGTGTGGAATGAAGGATACTGGTTCGAACTCGAGAAAGTCAGTTTTATGTTAAAGCCAAAGGCCTCATTTTTGTTTTATAATTGATGTAAGAAAAGTCAACGGAGTAATATCCAAAAATTACTTTATTATAGATCGAATATTTTTACTTACAATTGTCCGGGCATAGCGAACCATCGTAACCACAGATTGGACGATCGGGTGGCGCCTGTTCACGACCACCAGCCCAATGTATTTCCTTTTCCGATGCAAACTCCAGACGATTGTGCAGGAAATGCGCGACAATCTCAAATCTGCCAGTGCTGGGATTCATGTCTAGCAGAGAATATGCCGAGATGCGATCTCCATTCGAGTCGATGGTCACGTTCCCAGTAATGCCCGTGAAGCTGCGGTTCCACATGCGTCGCACCATATCGGTGCCATTGATGGGTCTTGTAAGCATGCTGGGATCTTCACGGATGCTATCATTGAGAGCGTTCGCGTAGAGGAGGACGCCATCAAAGAAGGAGGTAACAAATGCCGAAATTGGTTCATTCTCGCTGAATGTGTAATTGTATTTTGCCGAGGCGATGTCTTTGATCTGTAAATGGAGTGCACAGCACATTAATCACAGGCAGAAGTAGTTCCACTTATCTGCGTGTTCTAGCCCTGGCTATCTGCGAAATGCTGTTGTTTTCATTGCTTTGGCACCCGTGAAATTCAATTACAACCACGCCGACAACAAATCCCAATGGCAAAGGCAACGCCAACTACTACATCGACGAGAATTTGCCAGAATCCGTCACACGTTTCAAGTTGTGCGCTTGGAGTCCATCAGCTTGTCGTCCAAGAGCCCCAAGGCGGCTAAGCCAGAATAGGCGAAGGAAATTTTGCCAAGGCCCGCCCACCCCACAATTTTCACAGCCGTTGGCATTGGGACAGGGAAATGCAACTGAAACCGATTTCAGAAGTATTCTCAAGCGGAGCATGCCGCATAAATCAAAGACATAACCAAACGCTAAGCCGCAGTCATGTTCCTAAACTATCGAAGTCGCGAATAGAACACTTAAGCGTTTCATCCGTAAATTGAAGATGTGCCACAATTTCAATGCAATTTCAAATATACATATATGCATAATACCTATGTAAAGTTTCATGACGATAGACGATTATGATTGTATCGACTCTACTGTTTATACAGCTAGGGTATAACATGACCCAAGCACATTACGGAAACACGTGTTCTTGTGGCCTGCTGAGTTGGTTAAGTTGCCAAAAGTTAGCTAACAAATGCTTTCAAAGGCGACGCTTGGCCCCTTCTTTCCACACTCTGTAGTCAGAAATTGTTTTAAGAGGGTATAATGTTGAAGATGATTCCATGTTGTTGTTTTTTTTTAAATGACCCCTTCAAGCCCATCTGTCTAATCGATCTTTCAAGCTAGTTTGTGTTGGTAGTTCTCTGAATATCATAAGCTGATCCCAAGTGTTTCTATATAATCACAATTTTAAAAAACAGCCCAATTTTTTGTTTAAATATCGGATAAAAACCACAGATCCCGTTTGTATTAACCGTTGTGAAGATAAAGGGACACTTTTGTATATGAATCTGCATGGAAACAAAATTAAGTGTTAGGGAACAGTCTAGCTAGTTATATGAAGGAGACTTCAGTCGAGTGAATGAAATATTCTTGCTTGTTTGTTGGCGTTGTTGCCCTTGTAATTTCCTTGTGTACCTTCAGAAATATGTTTACAATTTCACAGACTGGTAAAAACATACGTACAAGTTCGCTAGTATGGAAATGTAAAGTGTGTTGGCGCTGAGCACGTGCACTGGCATAGAGTATGCATGGGGCTCAAAACAAAAAAAATCGCCAAGAAAATAATAAAAAATAAACAACGAAGAAGAATAGTCCTCGACACGCCGAAGATAAAATACTGTAATCAGCCGCAAAGAAGAATATTAAAGACTCCATACACTGGCAATTCAGTTCCATAGCCAATGCAAATTCATTGACCGCCTTTCTGCCGCGGAGACTCACCTCATTGGAAACTTTTGTGTAGGCGTCGTCATTTGGCTGCTTCGGCGTGACAGTCAACATGGCTGTGTAGGCCTTCTTGGCGCGTTCATTGTTGAATTCGGTGTCGTTCTTATCATACCAGGGCAGCGACGTCATATATGGCACTCTGGAATAAGAAAACGGGTTGACAAAGTTATAGATGCTTCTGATGGAGAAACTTGTGCATGTGTGTATGCCAGTGTGTGTGTGCGTGTGTAAATGTACCTAATTCCTGAATCTTATCAGTTTGGTATTACAATGTGCCCCGCAGTTTGTACTGTCGCCTTATCAATGACTTTGCGTTTATTCTTTGCTCTTGTCTGATATGCGTCATAAATTATTTATTAATAGAAATCTAAATTGCAAAACGAAAAACGATTTCTATCTCTGTCCGTGTCTGTGTAATTGCACCTCCACACAGGCCGTGCCAATAAACGATATGTGGATGCTGCGGTCGAACCCATTGAAAATTGGAAAAAAGGGTATATTGGGCAAATATATATAACGGGCAGCCATGTTTGTATGTCTGCACGTCTATCATTTTATCTGTCTGTATGCTTGGGATACTACAAAGCCTAGAGATATGAAATTCCTATTACATAGTCTCTTATTTTAAAGGCACAACAAGTATAACTTTTTTCCTTGAATTCTCCCTCAATTTCCATAATATCCTATGTTGATACACTTCGTTTAACGTTTAGCACACCTTGGAGATAATAAGATGTTCAGAGCCTAGATTTGGTATGTATAGCATACGTATGGCATGTACAGATTTCGAGCATTTATTTTTTTTATTTTCCCCTGTTCTCTACACAATTAAAAAATGACCGTCCTTAAGCTTTCTAGCTTTGGGAGCTAGAGAGTGAGACTGGAATAGATTTTGATTTTAACGAAAATTTTAACTTCTCTGTTCTGGACCGTGTTAGGCAGGGTTCGTGTACGTGTTGGGCCGTGTCGTTAAAACCTGGCCCGCACCCACCTCTCAATTCAGGGCATTTGTCAGTCGGGCACTCCCGAATTTTGGTGTTCGATACACAGTGTAAGTGCATGTACGTGTTATCAGTTACAGTTTGTTTGCGTTACCAACCCAATGTCAGCTGTTTTGCGCCAAGTCAGCGGGTGACATTTCTAGCAAATCGATTATGGATGGTAAACAGATTACTTTGCCACGGGCGGAACGGCTGAATACAAATTGTGCAGCTGATTAAATTCAGAGTGTGAAAGATTTATATTGGATATTAAAAGCCGAAAGAAGATCGTATTTATCGTATTCCAAGACTGTTACTTACTAACACTGTCCGAGCAGCGACTTACAAACTGTGACTTGAGGAAATATTCAATTTTTCGATATGAAGAGGCGGGAGTGCTTGTAGTCGCAATATTTTTGACTCGATCCGTAAAATTTTAAACTTTCAATTATCTAGCTTCAATTAAGCAAAACTAATATACCCTTTCACTATGTGACGAGAGTATAGAAAGGCATAAAAATAGAATGTTTAATTGCCTAAGTGTTATATTGTATTAAGTAACTCCTAGGTTTTGAATGAATCCCTGAACCTTAAATGCAAAGCAATAATTTATCGGCTGTGGGTAACCATCAATTAAATAGAGTGTCAGGCAGCGCGTGCAATTTGGAATTTATATCAGGAAATGCATTAGTTAATGCAATAGTGCATATTTTTCGAATTTTTATTCATTCGCACACTGATTACAAGTTCACAGAGGTTATGCGATTAGCCTGCTTTTTCAAGTAGTTAACGCAAATAATAACCGAGTATTCGCTCACGTATTATTCGATTATTCGCTCACGTAAAAGAGAATCGGCCCCAGCCATCTGCCCCTTTTTCTTCTCCCATTTACTGCCGCGTAGTATGTGTTTGTACACATATATATTTATAATTTTTTTTTATTGTAAGTATACCCCAGCTCGTACATATAGGCATAAAGTATAGTACGTTTTTTCAATGGTGTAGGAGTAACAGCCAGATGAATGTAACACGCCTGACCCTAAATTGTCATTGATTAAAAAAGGAATTAAAAAAGAAGAGTTCGTAATCAGAAAATGTTTTAGTCATCTGAAACTTAAAAATTGATTTTAAAGTCTCCCTAATTTAAATATCCATTTTAATAAGTTCCCATAATTTTTAATCGAATAATAATATATTCAAAGTTAACCACTTAAATTTTCTGCACAGAAATTTTTGAACGCGAGAAAAGAAGGATATATTTAAATACTTTGTAAATTTATTTGGTTTTTGAAAATCATTTTTAAAAAAATAAAGACTGAAATGATCTTAATCGCTATAAAGTATGATGAGCGAGTCGATCTAACTAGTATGTCTCTCTCTCTGTCTGGTACGAAAAAATTAGATTTTAATGTAATTTTTAGAAATAATAAAGAGGGGTTTTATGGACATTTCAAGCTTTCATAAATATCGTTTAATAAATATAGAGTCTTATTGGAGAAGGCATTTTCCATTTGGCTGGAGCTGAGGGCAGAAGAAGCTCAAACACTGTTTATAGTGAGTAACTTAAAACTGCTGAAAGGGTATTGTGTAGTCCAGAAACTCTACTATAATGCTCTATTCGTTTCATTAAACAGCAATCCGCAAAGATAGCCTTGCAGAGAGTGGTTCACTTATATACATATAAATACAAAGAAGAGCTCATATGTGGGGGCGAGTAAGCAATGACTCAGCTAATTTAAGGTATAATAGTAGTTAGACAGCAGCTATCTGGAAGGGTGGTGTGGGAGGAGGGAGTGGGTGGTTTTGGCTAAGCATATGTGTTGACGCATTTTATTTATTTTTATATGTACTTGTCTGTATTGTTTGCTATCAGAGTTAATAATGGTCAAGTCAGACATGTGTCGAAAATCGGAATTTCCTCGTTTTATAAATATACATTAATTGCTGACTGGTCACAGTGTCTTGGAAGCGCTCAAAGCTATTTTTGTTGGTAATTTTCAAAATTCATAATAACCTTGGCTAATGTGTATTATGCGCACTTTGCAAAGAATATTCAAAGTGCGCATGTTTGGCGAAGTGAAAGGCCACGAACTGTAGCTATAAATGATCAGCTTGTGTGTTTGTTGACGTTATTATAATAATAATTATTATTTTTGTTGTTGTTGCTGTTGCTGCCCCACTTGGGGAGTCATTTATATATTTATTTCAAGCTCGTACTTGTACTTACCGCGAAAATAATTCAATATTGATGAATACGTATTCGCCGCTATCGATCATATTCAACTCCTCGGCTGTCAGCATAATTTGACGTATGGACTGCGGATCGGCGCACATAATAACAACTGCAAAACAAAAAAAAAATAAACAATAAAGAAAAGGTAAATTAATAAAGAAACAAAAATGACCACAACAATTGCAAATTTCAGTTAACAGTTTCAATAACCCATCTCTTGTCAGCCCCAAGCCTGATCGCTTGTCATTAAGAATGTATTTATTTAATTGACATTTGTACGTTTTTAAAAATGTAATAAGGTAATTAGTATTATTTGTATGTGTTTTTTAATATAGGTTTTTTTTTTTTAGTTTTTGTTTTTTTTTTTTCAGTTGCTTTGACGTCAGTAGCTAATTTGGATTTACTTTCATGTTGTTAATCTGACTTAATGGCGCGTAAGTATATAAATGAATTGGCTGGAAATTGAGTCTTGCTTAACAGCAGCACATTATTCATTGCCTTGTCATAAATGTGATGAAAACTGTGATCACATGGGCTCTAGATGTTATGATCCTATAATTAATGGATTTCCCGAAACGTGTGAAGGGGAAATTAGAAACAACAGTTTTCACTGATATACATATATAGACTAGCGTGTATAACCCGGCCTTGCCCGTAGCACGTATAAAATATACGTTCTTAAAAAGCTTTGAAAATTATTTTGAAACTGATCGGACAGTAAACAAACAACTTTCACACAAACGTTTTCCGTCAGCAATTTACCACTTTTGCGGGGGGAATTCGCCAAATCGCGATTTACACGAATTCATTACATTCTTATGTAGAGCTTTAAAAATAAGTTTGAAGGAAATCGGACAAAACTTAAAACTTTACAATAAGTTT